TTTTTTTTCTTACAATAAATCGCGTAAGAAATTAAGAGAGAGAAAAAAAAACATCCAATTTGTTTTGGGATTAATTTCTGAAAATATATCATGAGTGTGAGTAGATCTGTCAGAATTTTCTGTTGATTTTGACAAGATTAGAGTTTGTTGGGAACAAAGTATGAATTTCTAGATTCTTCATCTTCTTTCTTCTCTGTGTTTTTTTTTTCTCTTTTTTTTATTTGCTTGTTATATTTTAATGGAGTTCTTCAGTAAAAACGTTAATGGAAGATTCCAGTTGTTGAAATTGGGAGACTGGAAGATCGAACTCTCAATATGGTTGACAAGGTGTGGTGACGATGGGGAGGTAGATTTAGGATTTTTTGGTGGATCGGACGGATAACGGCGCGTGTAGAGAAATTCGCGCAGGCTGGAACCTTAATCGACTATGTACATGTTCATAGTCGATTAAGCTAATCTACTATGTTCTAGTACTCGATTAAGGTTGATCGACTCCAGTGTTTTTATTTTTTTTGGATTTTTTGTTTATTGATTTCAATTGTATAAATCATTTATAATGTTTGTATATTTTTTGTTTTTGTAATATGTAGTTGATTTTGCATTTTTTTGCTGTTGTGATTTGTTATTTTTATTAGCAGATTCTTAATCGACTATGCTTCACATCATAGTCGATTAAAATGCTTCATTGACTCCAATTTTTAATTTTTTTTTTGGATTTTTTGTTTATTGATTCTAATTGTATAAATCAATTATAATGTATGTATATTGTTTGTTTTTGTAAAATATAGTTGAATTTGCATTTTTGTAGTTGTGATTTGTTATTTTTAGTAGTCCGTTCCTTAATCGAATATAGTTCATCATAGTCGATTTAATATGTTTCAAAGTCGATTAACATACCTGATAGAGAAAAAAAGTTAAAAAAACGAAAAAAATAAGAAATTTAAAAAAAAAATTAAATTTTTTTTTTTAAAATTAAAAAATAATAATAATATTAAAAAAAAAAAAAAAAAAAAAAAAAAAAAAGAGAGAAAGACACGATCATGGGATAGTGGGCTGATGGGGACGTGTCATGGGGATATTGGGTTGATGGGTCATGGGGATGTGTAAGGTGGAGGGACATAAATAGAAAAATGGGTGGCTGAAATTTGGACTGGGTTTTTCTCAAATGGTGCAAAATAGTTTGAATTTTTCTCTATTAGAAGAAGTATTGAGAAGTTATATCAAAGAGCCCCATAAAATTAAAAGTTTCTAATCGGATGTGAGTACGAAAGATTTTGGTCTATTATGTTATTAGCATTAGTAGTGGATATCGGACAGGTCAAATCGGAAACACTTTCGAAAATAATTCCATTATTTTTTTTTTGTTTTTGGAAGTGTTTACTAATTCCAATTTTGTTCCAAAAATGAAAAACAAAATCAAAGAGAAAAACAAAATTTTAGAAATTGGAATGAAAAAAAACTAGTTTCAAAATCGTAAAATTTCGAATTTAAATCGGCGGGCATAATTTAAAATTTCTAATTTTTTATTCACCTATGATATAAAGTACATAATAATAATGATATTATGAATGTATTTTGAAGATAATTTTTTTTTTTCAGCAATATTTTGGAAATTAAACTCATATTCATCAAACTTGGACTTAAATGCATGGTTTGATAGACTTTGTCGGGAAGCGAACAAGATATATCTAGCAGCTGTAATCTCCAATTTTACGAAACATTTTGGTATGACAAAAACCTTCACTCAACACATTATAAAAGCAATGTGCATGGTGGTGCAGTGCTTTTCTTGGAGTAGGGCAGATACTCATTCTTCACAATACTACATGCTTGAATATTATTCATTCTTAGATGCTACACTGTGTGTTTGTTAATCGTAGATCTACATATAATAACACACACTCATGTGTATGCAGGGGCGGACCCTACCTTTGCTTAGGGAGGCTGCCGCCCTGTAAGAAATTTTTTTTTGCCTTTTTTTAAATATTTTTTATATTTATCTAAAAGTTAGAATATATTTCCCCCCAAAAACAAAAACTTAGTAGTCAATGATTTTAAGCTTAAAAATTCCAATAATGATAACATATTTTATATTATACTTATTTTTAATTAAAATAATTTATAATACTAAAATATTATTTTTGATATTTACAAAATATCCCAAAAGAAAAATTGGGGGCTCTGCCCCCGAACCCCCGTTGAAATGACGTTGGGTCCACTTCTGTGTTTATGTGTGTTTAGTGTATGATTATTTAAGCCCGATCAACTGTTAATAAGCACCTAGTGAATATATCCTGGTGTAGTGTTGATTTGGGTTCAAAGATAATTATTTTTATTTATTTTTGAAAAAAATAGATAATTAAAAGGGGTAATATGATATGAGTCCCTCAATCAAACATAATTTGAAATAAATGACAAGTCTAAATTCAATCTTTTAATTAAATTCTTAATTTGAAATAATATATGACTCACATCCCTAAAAAAATTAATCCCTAATCTTGCCCTTATACCTTAAATATTATAACTTACATATATCACGTTTCTTATCTCAGATTTATTTCTCTTCTTCCGTCTTCTCTCTCGCTTTTTCTCAATCTCCCTATCTCTCGTCTTCTGTATATCAATCTCTCTCTCTCTCTCTTTTTTTCGCTTACATCTCTATCTTGCTTCTCCATCAAGCACACAAGTCGGCGACCGAGAGAGCAGAGGGGAGCGAGGGAGGAAGTGGTGGTGGAGGCGGCGGCGGCGGGGTGCTGTATGGCGGAGAAACAGGTTTTTCTTATTTTTTATAAAGATTTGCTAATTTTCTTCATTTCTTTTATATATCTGTGATTAAAAGTATATTTTGACTAATTGCATATATTTTTATTGATTTTTTAAGAGTCTTGGCTTAGTTTGGATCTGATTTGCTATTTTTATTCGATTTGTTACAGATTATTGAGAACATTTTTAGGGCAACAATTTCGTGGCGGCACACGTTAGAGTTCAAAATTCCAGATCTAGGTTTTTAAAAAGAAGGTAAGTGACTACGGGTGCGGCGACTGCAGTTGTTGGCTGCTAGGATTTGACGGTGGCTGCGTCAACTGCTAGGGTTGGCGACGGGTGGGAGTTGTTGGCGGCTAGGGTTTGGAATAGTACATTGTAGTACACCATAGTATTGCGTAGTATACCACAGTACACCGTAGTATACTACAAATTGATGTACTATATATGAACATCCATATTTGAATAGCCAGATGATGTACTGTGAACATCCATATATGAATAGCCAGACAATGTCCGAAGAAGTAAAACTCAAATTTTAGATGCCTACAAGCATGATAATGACTACGATGACTATAGATAACTATAAGCATGATGACTATAGATAACTATAAGCATGATAATGTCTACGGTGACTATAGATAATTACAGCTATTGATAGAAGATAAAAAAAAAATTGAAAAATAATTTAATTGAATAAAAAAATAAAAAAAATAACATATATTTATTTTTAATTTTCAATGCATGTTACGTATAAACAAAAGGAGCTTCTTTTATAATAGTGTATAAAATGCTAAAAAGACGAAAGAAAAAAAATGCTAAATCGGTACTCTGTAAAAATAAAATTTAAAAACGTTAGACGGAAAAATGAAAAAATGTTAAATGCAGAGTAAGAAAATGATAAATGCAGTTTAAATTTACTTTAGGTAAATTTCGAATTTGGTAGGAGAAGGGCATTTTTGGAATAAATTTAATAAATGATATAAAACAAATGTTTAGTTAGATTTGTGATTTAGTTCTAATAAATTTTGTACTAGGGACTTATATCTTAAGCCTCATTTTAAAAATTGCTTCCTTTACAATGTACTGCCCAATGTAAATGCCGGACCCTGAAAATTGCGCCGTAAAAAGAATCATTATTTTCACGTACCAAAGATAGTGGCTGTAATTTGCTTTAAACAAATTAAATTTGTACTTCTTCCCAAGGTTATGATTTTTTTTATTTTTTTATTTTTCGAGAATATTTTGAAATAATTATACTATCATTTTTGAAAGTATTTTTTAATTAATGTCGGAAGAATAATATGACAACTAACAATCAAATAACAAATTTATACTTTTTTAAATATTCATTTATAATATTTTTTTAAAGGACAAACCTAAAATAAATTTAATTTATAGAGCTTTTTCACTCTAAAGCTTGAATAATGGAGAGACTTTGAAATTATATTTACTGGTTGAAATTGAAACATATTTAGCGACTTCCACCAATTTTGATTTAGAAAACTTCCGATATTGGAACAAGTTTTTCAATTTTTCCAAAAGTAAATTGATTTTTCTAGATTTATTTGTCATATTAAAATAAGGTAATTTACGGCCAACCTTCTAAGGTAAGGTCGAACTACAAAATGTGCCATCTTATTTGGGTAATTACAATCACCAATCAGCTATGTATTGTCTTACACGTCCATCTTTACGGTGTCGAATTTAGAGCATCTCTAATGCTAAACTCAAAAGAAACTATAAAAATCCTAGGTGTCAAATACCAAATGTTAACCTTAAAATTTTCTTTATCATATTTGGGAAGAATGAAATCATCTACTCCAAAGCTTTCTCCAATGCAACACTAAAGACACAAAATATTTTTTAAAATATAAAAAAAAATTGTATTAAATGATGAGTTGACATTTTAGAGATCCTTAAAACCACACTATAATTTCATAGTATGATCTTAAGAATCTCTAAAATTACAAGTGTCACCTCATTGTCACGTGGAGAGTTTTCTTAATATTTGCATTGAAGAAGATTTTTTTAACAAAAATCTCAAAATATCTTATGTAACACTCTAAGTATTAGAGATTGAGTTTAACATTAGAGATCTTCTTACCTTAAATCTACTAATGAGCGGGTTTTTTGTTAAAAAAAAAAATACATAGTTGCAAGGGTGATTATAATTACCCAAATAAAAAAGATTTTTTCGTAATTTGACCTTACCTCAAAGGATGGCCGTACTTGGCTTAAAAAAATCATGAATTTGAAGAGTCCCACAAATTAAATTGCAGAAGGTACCAACACAAAATTACAAAGAAAGTAGTGGTAATAATAGAGAAGCCAAGTTGCAAGAGGGCACATGGTCCTAAAGACAGACCCCCACAGAGGCAAAACAAACAGCCAAGCCACTACACTACAAATTTAAAAAAGAATACATAATAGTACCATCATTCATGATTCCACTATTGAGAGAGGGGGGCAAGAATAATTAACCAAAAAAGTTCTCTCAAACCCCATAATTTCTTCTTCTTCATCATCACCAATTTATATGGATCTTGAATTTTTCCCAATCTCACCATAAAACAAGTGCCGAAAATGCGACAACTACAAAGGAGAAGGCGACGATGATATTCATCGGTAGCGGGGACCACCCGTGGCTTATATCCGTATTGATTCCGGACGGGCCTAGCCCGTTGTTCGACCCACCCAACACTCCGCCGGAGGACGGGGTTGTCACGAGCGGGGAGCCGCCGTTCACGGTGGTTGTGGGCATGCCGGAGACCGGTGTCGTGGTGGTACTGCACAAATTAGTTTCACCAAAAAAAGTGTAAAATTGGTAAGAATATAGTATATTATGCATCGAACTCTAAAGGGACAAATAATATCGAGAAAAATATATAATTTTTTTTAGCTAGTGAATTCCCATTTGCTGAATAAGCAATTACTGCCCATAAATTCTGGCTTCATCTGTATGGACAGACAGACAAGCCCCATTTTCATTGGCTTTTTTTAAATCTTGAAATATCCACCACAACTTTTTTTTTTTTTTTTTTTTGGTTTACTGCGAGTACCTTTGAAGCACCCTAAACAGTTAAAAGGGCTAATAAATAAAGTAGGTGAATAAAAAGAATATACCGGCATTCTTTTCAATAAAGTAGTAGAGGTTAAAACCTGATTAAATTCCCTATTTTACCCTTGGCAATGAAAAAGGAAAGGTGAAAATGAAGCCTAGGATTCTCTCACCTAGACAATTATTGCATTTTGCACCATCTTTTAAAAATTATGTACAATTATGGAACCAATAATAAGGTAACGAGTCAAGAACGCGATCATGTAATTACCATTTGTAAAAGGGTTTTGCAATTTGAAGACAAAAACGAAATCTCGTAAACTAAATTCGAAAGTGGAAAAATCATTAAAGGTAATTAAAAGAATCAAAAAAATCAAAGGATGAGAGTGAAATGCTCCAAAAAGAAAAAGCCGTTCTTCACGAAGAATATGTATGTGCTTTAGGAGATGCTCTCCCAACTAAGAATCTAAATGCAAGAAAACGTTATAAAGCAGCTGACCAATCGAATCCAACTATGTTATACACTATAAAGAAACAACCAGCAATAAGAAATCATATCCGATCCTCACGGTTAAATAAGTTTCGATATATTCGATGTATTTATATGGGATAATTAGATTATACACCTGGTTATTTACAATGGGTGGATTTGAACCGTAGATCTATACATAATCACACACAACCATGTGATCTACGGTTCAGATCCACCCAATATAAATAACCAGTGTAGCTGCATCTAACTCCCCTATTTATATAAGCTTTTATTATTGCCTATTTTGATTGTTAGTCTTTTTTTATATATAATTTAGGTGAAAACGACACACTCTAAATATCAACTTTAACCTGAAATTCAAGAATTCAAATTTGGACTCAAAAGTGAACACAACGGCTTGAATTTTCAAAACTTGCCAATTGATATAAATATATATATATTTAAAAGGGGGTGGGCAATTTTGAACACAGTTCGAGGGTATTATTGGTATTTTTTTTAATCCCCATGACAAGACAAATGTACTCAGAAGCCAGCAGCACTGAACTGTCACAGTCAGGGGTTGTTTTTTGATACCATAGTTATTTTTTACTACACCACCACAGTAAAACAAAAAGGAGTTAATTGCAAAAAAAAGACCCAGTGTTATTATTTTAAATTTCCAAAAAACGCCTCATATTATTAATAATTAGCAAAAATCTCCTATAATACATTTTTCTTTTAATACAACCCCTAAAAGGTAAAGTTTTCAGAAGGTACCTTGCAGTAGCAGGATATGCACAACCACCTACGCCTGTTAAGAAAAACATTATATTAAAAATTATAAAAAATTTAAAAATAAAACAGATCTAGTAGTACAATTTTTTTTATATAAAAAAAAAAAAAAAAAAAATTGATTGTGAAAAACTTACTAGGGTCAGAAGTAACAACGGTGGCGGTGCCGGAAAAATCACAGGCGGTGGCAACTTGGCGATTCTTCTGGAAATAACTGTTGACGGCGTAGCTGCAGTGAGCCCGAACGGTATTCGGGTTGTAACAGGGTCCGCTTTGATGGGTCGGGTTGCAATCCGCCCCGGCTCCACATGCGTAGTCCAGAGTCTTTTGCAAGGTTGCATCACTCTGTCCATCTCTGCAAATGCACCATGTGGCACCTACAAACACGTGAAAAAAAAAATCTATTAATTTTCCCCAAAGATTTCACCTTTTTCTTTTCTCTGAAAATTATTTTTCGGACAACATTTTTATTCTTTTTATATTTATTTTTTATCTTCCAAGATTTCATTTTTTTTTTTAAATTATTAGTTAAAAAAAAAGATTTTTTAAGGTAATAAGCTGATTACAGCTCAAAACATCATTAAAGACAACATTTTTATCACTTAATACTGAAAGAGGAAAAAACAATTAAAAAGGGAAAGATTTCACTTTTTTTTTTTGAAAAAAAAATCTAATAATATTTCCAAAGATTTCACTTTTTTTTGCTGAAAATTATTTGTAACTACCATAACCCATTTTTCCAAAACCTCAAAGAAAAGATTTTTAAATTGAACAAAAGAAATGAGAGCTCTTATCTTTAAAGCCAACATTTTTATTCTTTTTATATTTATTCTTTTTCTTTTCCAAGATTTAATTTTTTTTTTTAATTATTAGTAACTACCATAACCCATTTTCAAAACCCTTAAAATAGAAAAGATTTTTTAAGGTTATGAGCTGATTTCAGCTCAAAACATCATTAAAGACAACATTTTTAAGACATAGTAATACTGAAAGAGGAAAGAACAATGAAAAAAGGGGAGAGGGGTAAAATGGGAAGTGAAAAAGCTTACTGGAGTGACCAGCCATGGCTAAAAGGAGCACCGTGAAAACCAAGCCAGCCGCCATTAGAAGAGAGGTAAACACGTACTAATTAATGGGATCAAGAAGAAGAAGAAGGAGAAAGAAAATGGTGAAGAGAAATGATAAAGCTACAGCAGCAGCAGATTAGAAGAGTGAGAAGTGAATGTGAGTGGGGAGTGTGTTTTAGTGAGAGAGTGTTTTTTAAGAGAGAGAGAGAGCAAAAGTAATTGGTAGAATGTTGATTGTGGGGATGAAGGTGGCCCAGCCTGTGAGTGGTGTGTCGGCTTGTGAAATATTACTTTTTTTTTTCTTTTTTTTTTTTCTTTGGGGTGTGTGTTATTTAACCTTTACCTGTTTTTTCTGTTTACTATTTTTTGTTGCACGGTTTGAATAGATAATTAGGCATGGGGATAATTAATATTGGGATTCATATGGTTATTAGCAAGGTTCTAAATATCAGTTATTGGGTCCGAGACGATTAGGGACCGTTATACGATAAATCGGTGCAGCAGTGATTAACCGGAGATATATTGGAAATAAATTGATTTTTTGATTTAGTGTAATATATTTCTAAATATTATTTGTTTATACTTAAAACGTATAAAAAAAATTGAACATGATTCTCTCATCATCGTTTATATAATCTAATCACATAACAAAAGTTTAACATTTAGAACTTGATTCTCTCCTCATCGTTCTAAATGTTTTTATTTTTAGGCCAGGTTCTTTTTATGGAGTCGGTGAGTTTGGATTTGATTGAAAGAGATGATCAGTTGGAATTAAAAAAAAAAAAGTAAAAATAAAGTTTAACAACCTATTTTCCTTGTAATAAAAAATTGGGTAAATTACACCCACACCCCTGTGGTATGGTTAAATAACTTTAAGGCCCCTGTGATATCGATAATTACACTCACCCCCTTGAAACGTAGTTATAAACTCTAATGAGATAATGCATTGGATACGTTATTACGATTGAGTTATAACGGACTATTGGTTTCAGGAAGTGGTGGAGACAACAAAGAGTTATGGATGATTTAAGAAATATTGGGGGAGTCATGTCACCCCATAACTTCCCATAACTCTATATTATCTCCACCACTTGCTAAAAGTAATAGTCCATTAGAACCATATCGGAATAATGTATCCAATAAATTATCCCATTAGAGTTTCTAACTACGTTTCAGGGGGTGAGTATAATTATCGATACCATAGGGACCTTAAAATTATTTAAGCATACATCAGGGGTGTGGGTGAAATTTACCCTAAAAAATAAATAAAAAAAATAGAAAAAAATTATTTTTCCGATATAGCGTTCGAAGTTTGACTCGATATATCGGTTTGACCCGCCACAAACCGCTTTGGACCGCCTCACCGTCAAAAAACCGATTTCAAAACCGACACACAAATATCGTAAAGGTTTATGTCGGACGCCACAACCGATATTTAGAACAATGGTTATTAGTAACACTAGTCACGTCTTTTGGTTCGTGGAATTAACAAGAACCTGATAGCAAAATAATAATGATTCTAATATTTTCTTGAGTTGATTCGTAGGGATACAATTTGAGTGGAGGGTAAATGTCTGAAACACCCTTCAAATTCGTTTTACCACCACCTACACACAATTATATTGAAAAAAATGAAGGAAATATAAGTGAAGATGAAGAGGTTTTGACAATACGGCTACACGGGGTTATGAACAATCGATGGTAACTGATCGTCGGCAGATTGCTAGGTTGAACGAAAAATGAGAACGAGAACCATCGGAACACCCACCTCCTCAAGAAACTCAAAATTTTCGACGTCCCCGTCAACCTTAACTAAGATTTGGCCAAAACTACCAAAATCAAGAAATTTGCGACGACTGCTACTATGAGTAAGAATAGAAAGAAGTGGAATAAAATGGTAAGTGTTGATGAAAAAAACATCACTGACAAGAAACAGGAAATGGCTAATAAAAGTGAAGATCGACAAATTGATCTTGATATTAATCAATCCTTTAAAATTGATCTCTACCATCTCACTCTACTTATTTTCTTCAATGGATTAAATCAAAAATCTCGGCATTTATTCCAAAATAATGTCACTAATTTTTTTGTTAGAACGATAATATATGATGTTGGAGATCGCCAAAAATTCACCGAACGCTCTCACCAATGTCGGCACCGGAATACGCAAGAGGTTCCTGGATTAAGCATATAATGGGGTGGGTGCAAATTTAGATCGGATGACCTGTTTTAATAGAAAAATTGGATGTCATATGATGATTGACACATGAATAGTTTAAATAAAAATATAATTATGATTCTAATAATTGGAAAGAAAAAAAGAAAATTCCAGTAGAACTTGTAACCCCTCTAACCCTAATTATAATCAGCGTAATTTATTAAGAGTTAAAACTTAAGAATGCCACGTGTCAAAAAATTAATGGAATCCGATTTATATTAAATATCTGCTGATCCGCTCGGAATTTAATCTCTAATGGGATATTGTTAGATGTAAATAAATTTTATGGTTTTTTTGAGTAATTATGGATACTTGAGAGACATTTTAGTAGTTTAAACATGTCTGAATTTTGGTGATTTAATTTAATTTTATTTTATTTAAGTTAATGGCTTTGTAGACATTATACATATTTATGTTAAGAACTATAACCGTTAGTTATAGGGGATTTTGGTAATTATGAATACTTGAAGTCATGGTCAAGGAGAGTTTTGTAATTTACCCTAAAAAGTTTCAGTAAAAATTTTGAAGTGAACCTGAATAACAAGTCTAACTCAACTTGTCTAATCAACACCGAATATATATATAGAAAAAAAGGAAGGGTAAATAGTACTTGATCGCCTGTGCTTATAAGCTTTTGCAGATGATGCCCTTGTGCTCGTAATATCAGCATATAACCCCCTTGTGATGTTGGAGTAGCTTCTGTTAGTTTTTCCATCAAAATTAACTGTTCGCGTCAAACGTCAAAATACTAAATTTTTACAAGATGACTCCCTTGTGCTTAATTTTTTTTGTAATTGTCGCGGATGACCCCCTTGAAGTTTGACATGCACGTTTAATTAGTTTGATAAAAAAAACCAATAAATTATACCTCTATCAACCATAAGAAAGTTATGTGATGATATTACAAGCACAGAAAAAACATCTACGTACAGAAGCTTGTAACCACGGGAGTAAGTCTCTAAAAGAAAATGTCAATTATGCAGCTTAAATTTTGAACTAGTTACTCTAATCAAATGAAAAATCTAATTAATTAGTGCAACTCAGTTTAATTCAGATGGTCTAACTCACATTAACCACAAGTTGAAAAGAGAGAAAACCTTATCACTTGGTGAGAGGTGGATTCCAGGCTTGCACAAAGCAAATCTAAAGTACAATAATACTCTGATGAAAATTGCTCTGTTTGGTCATTCATATAGATACATAATTAGAACATTATATTTTGTATGTATTTCATTATATATATTAATTATTATTTTTATTTTGTAAAATATATAACTTCAATTACTTAAATTTATAAATTTATATAATAAGTAAAATCATATATAATCACGTACAACACACATGGTGCTTTATAGTAGATTATAAAGTAAGGTAAAACTACCATTTTACAAAATCCCTTTGGCTACATGCAAAATTAAGTCAGAGTAAATTTTCATTTAAGAGGATAGTGATTTATAATTTGGTTATAAGAGGGGTACAAATGAAATTAACCTTTCACCTATGTAGGTAAGAATTTGATTTAACACCAAATCAAATCAAATGTAAAATAGAAATGTATAGGTAAGTATCAAATAGTATCACACCGCTTTTGTAGATGCTACATCAGGTGAGATATATGGGATGATCCTCCACCATTGATATACACATAATAACACACACATGTATATGTGTACTTAGTGTGTAGTTATTTGTATAGATCTATGGTGCAAAATTATCCGACATTTTTCACCAATTTTCACCGGGTGAAGCATATCACATCCAATGTGGTAGTCTCTTTTTTTATTGAAAGAATTTATGGTCCCGAATTCGTTTAATACAGAGGTGTTATCTTAAGTGTTATGACACTTGAACAAACATGCAGCGGAAATATAAAGATAAAAGAACAATACTCAGAATTAAAAATGTTCACAAGTAAAGACTTGTGAACTTGCCCTTTACAGGACGGAAAAATATATTAATATCAGTATTCCAAGAATACAAACAGAAGAGGTGCGAAAACTTCTTCCTTATGAATGAATCATTCTCATGATCATTCTTACAATCAAATCTAGATACTAAAAGAAAAATATTAAAAATTCTAGATTTCAAAGATGTACTCGTGAGGAGTACGTAAAGAACTTATGAATGAATCACTGTCTTGATCATTCTTACAACCAAGTCTAGAAACATATATACTAAACAATCTAGACTACAAAGAATGTACTTATGAGAAGTACGCAAAGAATGTACTCATAAGGAGTACGTAAAGATTGTACTCATGAGGAGTACAACCAACCGATTCTAAAAACACACTAAAACACTCATGTAATCTTTTCAGCTCTCGGTGTTTATTTCTTTGGAATCGATCAATTTCATTGAGTATTGAAATCGGTATTTATAGACATTTCAAGCTTCCACTCCTCAGCCCATGATCTGCAAGAAAACCTACCACAAGAGCACTCAAGAAAATGGGTTAGTGGGTTAGTTAGGAAGTTAGAATAAAATCCACAATTAAATTCACTAAGCACTACTTAGCCCACTAAGCACTATACTTAACCCACTAAGCACTATACTTAACCCACTAAGCACTACTTATTCAATAACTAAAATTTAGTTTAGAAAATAAGAAGGTTAAAAACAAAATGTGGAAATAATCCACGTGTTTCAAACTCCCCCTTTTTAACTTTCTGATCAAAACTAAATTTTAGCTTAACTCCCCCTGAGTCATTGCTTGAACTCCCCCTGAGTCATTGCTTGAACTCCCCCTGAATATGATAACCAATATAGCAAATAACAATAATAGTGCAATCCTAGCATAAAAGATCAGAGGGAAAATAACAAACTGAACAAAAACAAATATTGTTCATAAAAATAACTTTAGAGCAGAATATCCAAAGTGTCCTCAGTATCAGCTGCTGCTGCTTTCCTCTGCTCCTTCAGCTTCACCCTCATTCTTTTCTTCTTCTTCATTAACTCCATGTTCTCTGCCTTTGGCATCCAAATGATGAGAAGTCCCTGCTTCAACTTCATGACTAGCTTTTTCTCCCCCTTTTTGATCAGAAAGAGTTTTTCAGAGCATTTCCACCATGGACTGGTGATAGGTAATCTGAGCTAGAGAGTGAGTAAGCTGTTGTAACAAGAGATCTCTAGGAACAGAAACAAGATTGTCAGGGGTGTTGTCAACATGAGGAGCAACACCTTCAGTACCAAGATTATTTTGACCTGATCCAGTTGAGAGAAAATTATCTCCATTCCAGGGAAGATCTTGGACATGAGTAGCCTTGAGAAAATTTTGAGAAACAGTTATCATGCCAAGTGGAGTGTGAAGATATTATGATTCATCTTGGCCCAAATTTTGAGAAAACAGAATGGAGTAGATGAGAGAAGGATACGAAAGATGAGTGGAGGATGAAATTTTCTGGGCAAGATGACCTAAATTATTAAAGAAAAGTTTGCCAACATCAACTTGTAATCCCATCCCCAATTTGTACATGAGTACTGCATGAGGTTTAGTAACCACAGAGACATTTTTGGATGGAATCCAATTCATCACTGTGAGTCTGAACTAGACAAAATAAAATGCAGTGAGTTGAGAAACTTTGAATTTTCTGGGGTGAGCAGGCCAACATTTTAAACGATTGCCAGAAAGAGTCTTACAAACCTCAGTAAAATCACCATAATTATCCTCATCAATCACAGTAGGAGTTTGTAAATGAGAGTTGATAATTTTGGGAGAAAAGGGAGAAAATGGAATTTCGCACAAAAACTTTGCCAAAGTTTCGAGAATTTTTCTTTTAAAAAAAAGAGGTTTGTAAATTGGCATAAAATTCCTTCACAACAGAGGGATCATAAGGATAGGCAATCTCAACTAGACTAAGGATTTTTCTTTGATCAAGAAAATCAGTAATCCTATGTCTATCAAACTCATCCTTGGAAATTTTCTTCTCCTCAATGAATTGGCAATTCATGATTTGAGGACTTCAAATTTGAATCAAATTCAAAATAAAAAGTAGTACTGAAAGCATTGTTTACCTCAAAAGGAGTTGACAGATCCTTCCCATCCAAGTTCAGCTCTTCCTCAGAAGATTCCTCTTCTTCAGAGTCTTCAAGTTCATCCGAGATGTATGCTGGCTCAGGTGATGCAACACGTGGGGCAACATCTTCCTGCATCTGAGAGGAGTCCTCAGACGAGTCACTGTCTGACTCTGAGGATGGCAATTTTTTGCGAAAAGTGGCAAGGGGAACTTCCCAGCTATCATCGCTTTTCTCTGGTTCATCAGCCTGAGGAGGTGATGCATCTACTTGAACAGCTGCCTCTACCAAAGTTTCCAGAGGATCTTCATTTGGAGCAGAGGGTGTTTCTTCAGTGGTGGTGAAATCCTGGGCATCAACAGTGGGAATGTCTACATGTTCAGCAGAAGACATCCCAGAAAAGTCAGGCATTTCCTCATCCTGGTAGGGAGCAGCATCCTCAGCAGCACTTTGAGAAACATTGGCTGAGACAGTGGGTGCAGCAGCATCTTCTGGAGCATGTGCAGCAACACCTTCAGAAACAGGATGTTGAGAGGCTGTTGCTGCCATGCTGGGCTGAGATGTCTCCCCCTGAGTTGATGCTAGTGGAGGTGAGTCTTTGGAAGATGACTCAGTGGAGCTTGAGGAGAGAGCTTGGGCTTGGTTCTGCAAAAGTAAGATCTCCTTCTTCATCATCAGTTTCTTCATCAACCAAATGAAGGCCTCTTGGTGGGTTTGGCCTAACTGGAGTGCGACCGACTCTGCTGCCTCTTCTTCTACCTCTGCCGCCTCTGCTGGGAGAATGTTTTCCCCTTCGGCGTTGTGATCCAGAAGCTTTCAGATCTGGGAAGGGATTCATGCGCTTGGACCGGCGAGTTGGAATCCTTCCTGCATTGGAAGAGGGACCCACGTTCTGGAAGTTGTCTGGGTTAATCGGATTCATCTCGTCTCCGGGCTCAATAAAGCTGATCGGCATAGCTTCAAGGTTGACAGGATGAACGATGATGGCCAGATTTGGGTCTGCTGGTTCAGGTGCTGCAGCATCGTTGTGGACATCACCAACGGCGGCTGGAAGAGGATTTCTAGGAGGAGATGCCATGATACAGTAGATAAAGAAAGATTGCTTCTTTGTGCTGTTGATTTTTGAGTGTGAATTTTCGAAAGAAGAAGCACGAAATTTATAAGCCCTAATTTGCAGAAAAAAAAATTGAAGTGGAGAAGGTGAAGAAGTGGTGTGCGTTTTTCTTGGAGAAAGTGTGATTAAGGAGAATAAAGGTTTATGTGGCAGTTTAAAACAAAACGTGACACATGGCATAATAAGGAGTGGACTTAGTGGAAAATAAAAGACTAACCCATGTACCCCATGACCCATATAAATAGTGATAATTCAAAAATAAAATAATAATAAAAATAGTAGCACTCACGAAATTTTCACAAAAATAAGAAACCCATCTATTAATGATTAGTAGTGTGAGAAAAATAATTTGGCTAACAGGCATAGAATTTACTATATATATAAAAAATTTTTTTTTTTTTTTTTTTTTTTTTTTTTTTTTTTTTAAACTCTTATTTTCAAGTCAAACAATTCACATGGAACATGATCAAGTGTTCAGTTTGAAGGTTCCTCAGTTACTAAGATATGACTATCAAAATAGAGGAGTTTGACTTATGTGAGTGTAATTATTCCCCAAATGTTTACATGAAGCATGATCACGTTTCAAGGTGAAAGACTTCCAGTTACTTATTTAGAAAAATAATTCTTCACAGTGAAGTCATTATTTAAAGAAGCTAAGCTTCAGTAAATTATGTTGCAACTTAAGATATTTGATGAGGTGATGCAACATATTTCAGGACATGTTTATTGAGTACACATCCCGAGAGATTTTCTGAGTTTAGAAAACCTCTCATAATCTAATGCCTTTGTAAAGATGTCAGCCAGCTGATCTTCTGTAGGAATGTACTTTAAGCACACTATATTTTTCTCAACTATATCACGAATAAAATGATGTTTAATATCTATGTGTTTAGTTCGTGAGTGTTGAACAGGATTTTTTGAAATGTCAATAGCACTTGAATTATCACAATATATGGTCAGGGTGTCACTGGTTAACCCATAATCCCCCAACATTTGTTTCACCCAAATTAGTTGACCACAACATCCTCCAGCAGCTACATATTCTGATTCAGCTGTTGAAAGTGATACACAATTTTGTTTTCTACTAAACCAAGAAACCAGATTATTCCCCAAAAAGAAACATGCACCTGATGTGCTTTTTCTGTCACTAATATCCCCAGCCCAATCAGAATCACTAAAACCTATCAAATTTGTATTAGTGTCTTTGAAAAACTGAATGCCTAAATCTACTGTACCTGCAACATACCTAATAATCCTCTTCACAGCTTTAAGATAAGTGACTTTGGGATTAGCTTGATACCTGGCACACACACAAACACTAAAAATAATGTCAGGCCTGCTTGCTGTTAGATACAGAAGGCTTCCAATCATGCTTCTGTAAAGGGTGCTGTCAACATCTTCAGCAACATCATCCTTGGACAGTTTTTGACTTGAACCCATTGGAGTTTTCATGTGCTTGGCTGACTCCAACTCAAACATTTTGACCAGATTTAGAGCATACTTCTTTTGATTTACAAAAATTCCTTCTCCTGTCTGTTTGATCTGGAGTCCTAGGAAGTAATTCAACTCTCCTACCATGCTCATTTCAAAAGCGTGAGACATAGAATCTACAAAAGACTGTAAAAGGTTAGCACATGTAGAACCAAACACAATATCATCAACATATATTTGTACAATAATGATATGGTTATTTGTTCTTCTAACAAATAGAGTTCTGTCTGCCTCTCCTCTGTTAAACTGTATTTCAAGTAAGAAGTCTGTGAGTCTTTGATACCAAGCTCTAGGAGCTTGTTTAAGACCATACAGAGCCTTCTTAAGCTTGAAAACATGATTAGGCTTGGCAGAATCTTCAAAACCCTTGGGTTGCTCTACATATGCTTCTTCATTTAAAACACCATTTAGAAATGCACTTTTGATATCCATTTGATACAGTTTGATTTTAAGAAAGCAGGCTATAGCAAGAAGTAACCTAATAGATTCAATTCTAGCTACTGGAGCAAAGGTTTCATCAAAATCTATACCTTCAATCTGAGTATAACCTTGTGCTACTAACCTAGCCTCATTTCTAACAACTGTACCTTTTTCATCAGTTTTGTTTTTGAAAATCCACTTAGTTCCTATCACATTTACATGGCTTGGTCTGGGAACTAAGTACCAAATATCATTTCTGATGAACTGATTCAGTTCTTCATGCATTGCATTGATCCAGAATTCATCCTTCAGAGCTTCTGCAATATTCCTTGGTTCAACTGAAGACACAAAGCAAGTAGTACCAGTTAGTGCACATTCAGAAGATAGATTTGCAAATCTTACCATATCTCTGTAATTCACTCTCTCTTTTCTTCTGGTTCTCATCCCATCAAAGATATCTCCCACAACTTGAGTAGAGGGGTGATTTTTATGGATTCTACTTGATGGTTCCTTTCTGCAGACATCATAGGTTGGCTGCAATTCAGCTTCTGTGCTTTCTGTTGGATGTATTGAGTCAGATGTGGTAACACTTGGCTCAACACCCTCTTCTCTTGAAACTGGACTGTTTATATCTGGAGCATTTGTGACAGTAGTGTCTCCTCTGGTTGTTTTTCCTTCAACAATCAGGTCATCAACTTCATCTTCAGCAACGGGTTGTAACACTTTGTGTGGTACTCTAGTTTGCTTTCCCTTCTGGCACATTCCGCATATAGGAATGTCCTTGATCTTGAGATCTGGAATTCCTCTTATGGCATTGTACTTGTTGAGCAGCTTCAGATTTTTGAAGTTTGTGTGCCCTAGTTTCTGGTGCCACAGCTCTACTTCACTTACTCTTGAGCTCTTACATGAGATGGTGTCACCTGTTTCATAACAATTATCCATTGACCTAGACCCTGTCAGTACACAATGATTTCGATTATCAAACATAGAACACCAGTATTTATCAAATTGAACACATAGATCATCATCACACAATTGACTAATACTGATGAGATTTGACCCCAATCCTTCAACATGTAAGACATTTGAAAGTTTTGGAAGTCCCTCAATACTGAGTGTTCCACGTCCAACCACTTTGCCTTTAGCTCCTCCTCCATAGGTTACACGTCCTCCATTGAGTGTATAGTAGTTTGATAGAAATTCTTTAGTTCCAGTCATGTGCCTAGAGCATCCACTATCAAAGTACCATGAACCTGAAATGTTAGCATTTAAAGAAGTGTATACTGCTTTGCACATAAGTTTACCTTTGGGAGTCCATATTCTACACTCTTTTTTGGTAAATTCTACCTTTTTCTTGGAGGTGTTCCCTGGAGTGCTGTGACTCATCCTGTACAACATTTTGTCACTACTTAGTTTCTCACACAATGGACGGGTATGTCCTGGTGAGAAACAGTCATGACAAATGTATCCCCTTATTCTGGACTCTGAAGTGGTGACTGTGGAATTTCTGCATTCTTTTCCATTTGAACCCTTCTCTTTTACAAAGACAATCTCCTTCTTCTTTACTGGCTTGTGTTTCTTCACTTGGTTTTTGAACCCTAGACCTTCATTTTTGTTGTACTTCTCCAGTGACACAATCTCTTTGAGTTTAGTTGTGTCGGTATTCATCCTCTTGATTGCTAGAGTCGCTTCTTTGAGTTCATCTTTCACCTTTGCCAGTTCAAGATCCTTCTTGGTGATACCAACCTCCAAATGAGTGATTGTTTCTTTGAGAGAAGGATTTTCCTTGTTGGCTGCATCTAGAGCATGAGTCTTCTTCTCCAAGTCACTGAACAATTTCTTGTACATTTCTTCCTCATCTTCTACTGCTTATTTACTGTATTCTGCAGCATTCAAAGAAATAGAGTTCAAACATGTATAATGACTATTATCTAACTCAGAAATTTCAGTTACTGAAAGTGTTTCAGAAAGTGTTGCAGCATCTAGAGAAACTCCTTGTGATTCTGTTTCAGGACAATTTTCAGTGATATATCTGACAGAAAGAGCTTGTTTAGTGGGTTGCTGCTCCTCTGTCTGTTCAGGTTTCTCTTCCTCCTCATCGCTGACAGCACAAATCAGACTCATTCCTCTTCTTCTCAAGGTATTTGCACATTCATTAGCATAATGTCCAAATCCTGAACATGCCCTGCATTTAATATGATCCAAGTTAGGTGGTTCAGAATTTGAACGAATAAATGAAGAATTTTTTAAAGTGTTTTGAGAAGATGTTTGAGGAAATGTTCTCTGTGGAATAGATCTGTTCCGAGGTTGAGTTTGACGATTTTGTGGAGAGCCATCTGAAAATAACTGTCTAGGCTTGATTCCACTTCGTCTGTATGCCCTATTGAATTTTTGAATCTGAAATGCCACATTGTTGAGACATTCATCTGCATCATCATCATATTCCGTAGCAACTTCTTCCTTTTCTAGTTCTGTCTGGAGTGCATTTGATAGATCGTCTGCTGTCCACCGTAATTCTGGTGTT